TTGCCTGCCTTCAACAGGCTTTGTATTTCTTTTAAATGTTTTTAGTTTCTATATCCTGCATTCTGTGTATAGTTTTGTTTCCATTGTTCTCACTTACCTTGTTCAACTGACGTACTTAATCATCTCTTTACAGGCCTCTTTGTGCCTGCTAGTATTGTGTTATCTTATCTTTAATTTAAATTTTCCTATGCTTTTGAAGGTGTTTGGCGTGATCATTGTGTAACTACTAAATTCAAACGTCTATTAGCCTGTTTGCTGGCTACCATTGTGTTGCCTTATTTTTAATTTTGATTCTCCTGTGCCCTGTTTGCCTGCATGAAACAGGCATTGTATTTCTTTTAAATGTTTTTAGTTTCTATTTTTTACAAACTGTCCAAAGTATTGTTTCCATTCTTTTTATTTTGATGACTGACGTACTAAAGCATCTCTTTATGAGCCTCTTTGTGCTGGCGCTACCATTGTGTTGTCTTAGTTTGTAATTTTGATCTGCCATGCATTTTGTGTTCTACTTGACCATAGTGTAAGTAACAAACTTAAACTTCTATCAGCCTCTTTGCGCTTGTTAGGGTTGTTTTGTTTTTGATACTATCGTGTGGTCCTTGGATCTTTTTATTTTGATTTCACTATGCATATGTATGTGATCTCATCACTGTAAAACACAGGTTACTTTTCTTAGTTGCCTCATGTTGGGGGCTGTTAATCTTTTTAACAATGTCGTATGTTATATTTTGACTTGAGCATGTAATAAATGTTGTTGGAGCTACTAAGTTCTGTGATTCTATTATCTACAACCTCGACTCCAGAAGTGACGATGACAGTTTGAATAATTTATATTACTTTAACACAGTGAGTCTATTGTGTGACTTAATTCAAAGTACACATTGGTTTAAGCAGTTGATAGGGTCAGAAGTTTTTGCGATGAGTGCAGTTTAGCCATGTTGGGGTCGGGTCCCTTGTGTCGCATGTCGCCCCGTTCTCCAATTGGCACGCATGCCCCGCAAAATAAAGATAATAAAACCATTGTGTGAAAAGAATATTTATTTTTCTTCCTCTTTTGATACCAGGATGTAGACAATCGAAGAGTCGAAAACCATTCCCTTCTTCAGGCAAATGTCTAAGTTTACAGAGGAGGGAAAACACAAAATATACCACAAACAATATTTGAGATATATCACAAATAACATGGCCAAAGGCTAAGTAGACAACCAAATCAACCAGCATAAGTAGAACAACCAAACTTCTTAATTGCTAGGAGGGTCCCCTATCACTGTGACAATGTTTCAAAGCCTGACAGCAAAAATTTAGAACAAGAATGTATTCCCTCCTATGACAACTTAGTAGCAGGAGGCTTATTACTCTGATGGAGCATAAGTAAAACTAAATTTGAGTTTCTGTTTTGTAAACTTTACAAACATGGCAACAAAAAACAAAAGTTAGCTGTTCAGCATTCAACAAAATCTAGTATGGCGTTCGTTTAAGCCAAGATTGTCACCAAGAACAAGACTAAGGAAAAAGGATACTTTTTGAACTGTTCTATTGGGAAGCTCAATTAGAATAAAATTTTCCTCTAGATCTTTCAGTTGTTGAAGGACGCACCTCACACAAAGTGGAAATACTATAGTCTTTACAATAATTGGTATCAAAAGCAGCAGCAATAACAGTGTATTGAAGTAATCACAAAAACTCAGGAGTACAAGGTATTTCATTAATCAACCCATTGGTCCTCTCATAAAGCTAAACCATTAATCAGCTCATAACTGTCTGAATAAAGAAACACTGGGAATACTATTTCTCTTTAGCATGATAGGGTTCTGAAGGGATCTTTCTGGAACTCTTAACATGGCTTCAATATCGTGTACATCTAAATCATATCATATACATTGGCTTAAGGTGGGAAGTATATACCCATTGAAGCTTAGAATTTAACCTACTGTTTTTACTTATCTTCAAAAAAATTTGATAATGACTAAATTTTGCCCAAGTGAGGTTTCCCTTCACTAGTTCAATTTTCTGATAATTTATAAAACAATAGAGAGACCCATAGAATCATTGGAAATTGTTTGGATTTGAAGGGTTCTGGCTTCTGGGACATTTTTACTTTAACATCTTGCGCGCAACGTTTCTCGCAATTTCTCTTTAAAATGTGACCTCACCCAGGTTTTTAACTCAGATAGTTCCGGAGAAAAGTTGCGCGCAAGATGTTAAAGTAAATATAACACACGTTGTACTGCTTGCTTAGAAGTTAATTGGATTGGAACAATTCGGATATTAACTGTTAGAAATCTCCAAAAAGAAGAGCATTTTTCAAATCTGTACTGGTTTGAATGGAAAAACTGTACATAAACAAAGGCTCTAGATCTTTCAAAAATATATGTAGCATTAAAATGAAACCCAGTGGTACATAAGTGTCTCATTCATTTGTTAAATCATAAATTACCTTTTAGCATCCCGACTCAAGCACATTCAGAAGAAAAACTTAAGTGTAATGCCACGATTGCCTTGAGACCAAGATCTATTGCTTTGGGCTGAGTTGTCAGTCGATACAAAATGCCATCTACATCCACAGAACTTTACCTGATATCATTAAGCTTTGGACCAACAAATATTAAGAATGGCTTGGTATTCCTTACTCAGAGTAAAGCTAATAGCCCTCCTTTTTTTATTTTAGAAATTTTCTGGTAAATCAGACAAATCCTGTGTATCAACAATAAAAAGGGTTAAGATTGTCCTGTTACTATAATGCTGGAGAAGTATAAAGAATCACTTGCTAGGAATGAGGTTGCCCAAGAACTAGCGATGCTTATTTTTTCCAGCTTGTTGGAAGACTTGGAGAGATGTTTCGTTGTTGGGGGGCATAGTGCTGGAACGATTGCCAAGCACAGTACAGCAAGGCTCCCTGCAACAACAAAAGAACACTTAAATCAAAAGCTGAATGGATAATAAATTGTACAACACCAACACCCTTCCTAAAGGAAAATTTTTGCTCACCATGAAAAATCTTATTTTGAAAAATGTCAAACTCTTAATGCAGGAAATGTTTCCACCATTCAATAGAGAGCTATGCTATGTGATTTCCATTCCATTCTTCAACAGAGTATTAACAAATTTACAAACTAACTTTTAATTGAATAGTTAGCATCAACATATCGCTTTTACTGTTCCTGAAAGTGCTACTAAGGGCAGTTTAAGCTCTCTAGACCAGCGCCTGGGTTGGACTTGATTAGTACTTTAAAAAAGAAACAGAATGATATGAGATCCTTCTTTCACCAACAGGTGGAAAGAAACTAATAGCATGCAATGCAATAACTTCTAACTATGGGTTCTGCTAAGATAGCACAAGAACTGAGGAAAGAGTTCACTTACAGTGCTGAGTTGACTAGGCAAAGCAATCTTTCCCAGTTTGATCTTTCATATCAGTTGTAGCAGAGATGATTTCTTTACAAAAATGTCCTACTTATGAACAAAAATCATTTCCTTTCCTAGGTACAGTACAATGAAATCCATCTCAAGCTGAAACAAAATTAGATTTTTAATTAAGGTTACATGTCGATAATTCATACTTCAAAATAAAATATTCGAAATTGAGTCTTAACAATGTAAAGCCAGAAGAGTGCTTCAACACCTTATTCACAGAAATAAAGCTGAAATTGATTCCAGTCTTGTCTTCAAAGTATTTCTGCAACTTAAGTGGTGCAGATAATTGCCTTCTTTTTATCGGAAGGGGCCAATTGTTTGTTGTTGCAGAATCGATCTTGAGCCACAGTACAGACTGTTTACTTTCAGTTATTATTACTACAGGAAAAAAGAGGAAAAGTTACAACAATAACAATGTCAACCAAGAGACACACTTGGATTTTCGATCAAAAAGATCTTCTACCTGCTTAGAGAATAGCCTTATGATCATCCTTGCTAACAACCGACGAAGAGGAGGCTGAATTTGTATTGGGCCTGTGATCCACCAGGGCCTTCAGGTTGCTTTCAACTTTGCAGTATTGTAGTGGGTTTCCCCGATAGCACCTACATTTCCTGATGGTAATAAGTCACTCAGTTGTAAATTTCAAAAATAAATAGGGGTGTATAATAACTTAACTGTGCTATAGAGATGGTTTGCAAAATACACATACAGCATCTTCAGTGGGACAACACTCCTTAATTTTACAAGGTAGCGAATGCAAAAACCTGGATTTTCAAGCTGCAACACAGAAAAAAGAAACTATTTTAATTTTGCCTAATTATCTGACAAAGCAAGCAATTCGACATGGCGTGGTGCATTGTTCTTACCTATGACTGATCCTCCTCAGAACGTCCACCCCATCACACATGTCGTTACAAGATCTCTCTCTTTTCCGGTAATTGACTTGTACGTTTAAAAATACTCTAGAATTACTTTTCTCCATTCATCACGTTCCAGTAAAGTCCTGGAATCCTGTTCAAAAGGTCAGTTGAATTAAATCAAGTTTAATGCACAAAATAAAATAAAAATTATAGATCGGTAGATATAATTTAACATTTACCAAATCAGCAACAGCTTTGGATGCACTCTAAAGAGGTTTTGCTAGAGACTTCCTTGGTTCTCTTTCCCAAACAAGAAATACAAAGAAAGAAAAGAGATGTCAGATTAAACTTGATAGTCTGTGGTGTTATCTCCTGGTCTGCCTCTTTTAGGTCTCAATTAGTTTTAGATTGTAGACTCCTCAGTAGGCAGAACAGCAGACATCTGCAGAATGAAACATTTTGTACAAAACAATAACAGCAACGATAAAGGTCGTGAAAATGTATTTGACATGGTTTCAATCAAAGTGCAGTTTTCCATATACCCATACATTCACATAGCACTTCGAAAAAAGAACTTAAACTGCGACTTGAAGCATTTATTCTCGTAAGGTTATGGTGCTTTGTTATGGTTCTCGCTACGCTACGCCACTCAAGGCAAGTGAACGAAATTTTCTTACCTTCGAAGAGGAAGAGCCTCAGGCACTTGCCACTCACGCAAAAACGTCCGGACTTCATCAATTTGCGCTACAGCAATTTTCACTTTCTTTGACTGACAGGCTCGAAGTTGGTCGACGGCACGGGGAAAGGAGGGTGAAACGCCGTGCAGGGTCACGATGAGATCCGGCGGCTCTGCTTCGTTCGGTTCGTCGCGTGGGGCAGGTGGAGCCGAACCGGGCCGAGCGGAGCCGAGCGACATTTCGGGCCAAATGAAACCATACCATAGCCAACAGTGGCAAACGCCGCGGATGTCGCGCACTAAAGAAATTTCATTTAACCAAACCCCAGTGGCGAAAACCGCATTAAATGCGCTTCAATGCGCGTAGAAAACCATATAAAAGGTGTGTCACCTTCTATGTGCAGTTCTAATGTGCATTGAACCGCATTTAATGCAGTGGCGCTTTTGAGGGAAGTACCCCAAGCCAGGTGTCTGTCTCCGCAAGGCTAATAAATTTTCTTTCAGATCCGAGCCACGACAACAAAAACTTCTTCAGACGAATGAAAATTGCGTTGTGTATTTAAAGGTAGCGATCCAAACCACATGTGGATCGGGCGTTTTCTGGTTCATGTGGTGCAGAGTGTGAGGGGCATTAGAAAGGAGGGGAAGCGGAGGGGAAGTGGGGAGGGGGGGGGGGAGACCACAGTTGTTTCCTAGGCCTTTCCGGTGTCATTGTTATCTCGAGCTGCCCTTTGCAGTGTTGCAGTTGCAGCAATGGATTTCATGATAAGGGAACTGGTGGAAATGGCGAACTACCTCCGAGTGAGTTGCTTACCATTCTTTTTCTCGTATAGCCTATAGGCTGTCCGTCAAAATGCACTAAAGCACAACGCCCTGTAAAAGACCGCCCGTTTGAAGAAACTGCTCTGCATTGCGTCACGTTCAGATCACGCTCGACACTCCTCGAAAGCCGGGTTTGCCTGTTTTGCCTTTGATTGGGCTCCTTTGGTGAGCAGCATCTTGTGGAGTCAAGCATAGGCAGGCTCGTCGTATTGGGCGTAGTACTCTGCGGGATATCCCACAGAATTCGGAGCACAATTTAGTTATACTGTCCCGCATGCTAGCGTGCGGACGCGTTGCCTACTCGCTTGGGGCCATGAGGCGCCTTTAGGAGAGGCAGTACGCAAGTCAGGACGCTCGGCTGCGTGCGGCACAGTATATAACTACAAAATGCAGGACTTGCATGGGAACTTCCATGGGGGGGGGGGGGGGGGGGGGGTGGGGGGGGGGGGGGGGGGGGGGGCTCGTCTTGCAGAATACTCCACCCTGGTAGGACGAGGTCTTGTCTCCCCGCGAAACCGCGTACCCATTATGGGCGTAGGGCCGCAGGTGCGGGGTCGCGCCCTTCTGGGGGTTGCCAACCGACCAGGCGCTCACTTCAAATTGCATTTGTGCCCTGACGGATAAAGCATTCCTGTAAAGATGAAATGCAGAAGAATGCGCGCAACAAGGCACCGAAAGTGACCATGCTACGTATAGCATCGTGATTTTCGTTATGTTGTTCCCCGCATTCTTTTTCTTTTCAGCATAACCGGAATGCTGTATTGTTTGCGACCGCAACTGTCCAGTTTCTAAACACTACTCTCGGCACCCCCTACCGGGTGTAACTGTGAACTGTGAGTGCGAAGCAGTGTTGCGGGTTTGCCTACCCAATTCGCCCGTAAGGCGCCATGGCCCCTGCAGCCCTGGCTGGTATGCAATCCCACAACACTGCTGCGCATTCACAGTTACACCCGGTACATGCTCGCGAAGTATTTTGACTCGGTCAACTCAACAGACCAGACACCTTGTATGTGCGTCATGGTATCACTTGGAGTGCGCCTGACATCGCGCCCCGAGCGACGCAACTATAAACTGCCGTATTCGGATTGATTCATTCTATCGCAGGTTGACATCCGCCGTTGCGAAAAGGAAATTGAGCTGATTCCAGAGGAGCTGAGGGAGACAATACGTATGATGACGAAACTGCTCCATCTTGTAAATAATGAGATCGACAAAAAGAGAGGTATGATTTGACCAATGTCATGTGTGAATTAGTGTTCGCGTCTGTCGTGTCCATTTAGAGGCCGTACATATACTACGTAGTTTATTTTTGGGGAGGGGGGGTCAGCCTTGAACTACGGTCGGTCACAGAAGGGAGGGGGGGGGGAGGCGCTGGTGTCGTAGTACTCGTCGTACTCCTGTTTTGCGCAAGCAAAACAACGCGTCGTCTGCCCTAATTTGTTCAAGTAGATCCGTTGGCCAGTACTACGGTCGGTCACGGAGGGGGAGGGGGGGGGGTCAATAAATGCCCAAAAATGAACTACGTAGTATATGTACGGCCCCTTATTTCCAGCTGCCTGGATTTGTCGCTGTTTTAGAGACGCAAACCCTACCACCACCGATGATACCGGAGGTACAGCGCCTGTCATTCCGGTCATCAATGATGCAAGTGCCGCGCGTGCTGCCGACGCGCCCAGCACCAATGCCATCTCCACTCCCCCCTCTGCCCACCCCACCAATGGCTTCCTCCGCGCGCCCACGCGCACCTGGCTCTGGGACACGCGCACCTCGTCCTCCTGAGGCGCGCGGTCCTCGTCCTGAGCCACGCGACCCTCGCTCTGAAACTCGTGGCCGTCGCTCTCAGCAACGGGCACCAGCACCCAAACGGACTGCGTGCTGGCGACCATAACTGTGCTGTAAGTCTATGACGCTTCTTTGCAGAAGTGTTACATGATGATAATTTGAAAAGACGTCGCCCGTTGTCTGTCGACAATACGAACCATGCATCAGGTGGCTGATTAACCGCTCACTTTTGTACTATGCAACCCGCCCGCATGGCTCCGTCCGAGACTGCATACCCATCAGGGGCAGGTGCACGCTCAGCGGCCGGTCTTCGTTCCGCCAGTTATTGCAAAAGACCACAGGCCTCTCGCGGTTCCCGGGGCTTCTCCAGTGGCGGATTAAGGTCCGGCTGACAGGGGGGGGGGGCGATGCACTGTCGGTTGCCTACATACAGGGGGTTTGTAGCGCAAATTGCCTACCTTTCAGGCGGCTCTCTAGAGACGACAGGGGGGCGATCCCTCCCCCCCCCTTAATCCGCGCCTGGGGTTGTCGCGGTTCGCAAAACTGTCGCAATGGTAATTTGAGCTCCGGATCTTTTATCGAGCCCAAGACAAGACGGTATATCCGAGTGACAGCCGGGAGGATACCTAGAGGAAGTATCCGGGGGGTACCCTCCCGGCTGTCTCTCGGATATACCGTCTTGTCTTGGGAGGGAAACTCGCGGTCCCCGGGGGAAGCTCTTCCGTGGCAGTGTTCGCGCACTGCGCACTGCGCGAACAAAGTATTGCCCGGGCCGATCGAGTAGGCAACCCGCCCACTCGTGGGAACGCACCACAACATAACTGCACACTGAGAAAAACATTTCCTGCCGGACACTAAACTTTGTCTGATGCTCCCAACTTTGACCCAGCTCAAAATTGAACTTTGCCACTGGATTGTTTTGTGTGCTGTGCTGTGAATTTTCTTGGTCTGGGCTCTAAACGGGTGATGCGTTTAGCTGCCAGCGAAGAAGCTTCGATGAGGACACTAAGTGTATAGTGCTCAGCCAGATTTTTTTCTCAGTGCAGAAGTGCACTTGATAATCAGCCACCTGGTACATTCCTAGATTTCCCCGGTCGTGAATGATCTTGTTGAGAAAAGGGCGGGCTCGTGCGCCACTCCACCCGCCGGCATGTGCGGACGGCCCCCCTCAACTGCAGCCGGTCAGCGGAGCGGTGCGGCCGAGATGAAGGCCACCACCAGCACCTCCAGATCGAGCTGATTCTTGAAGTACACGAGGCGGGCAGGCGGGTGGTGGGCGAGCGGTCGCGGCGGCGAGCGGTGCGGCGGCCGAGATCATGGCTAGCACGGCCAGCATCAACATCGGACTAATTAGGTCAGCCTCCAAATTGAAACCTTCTGGTCTGGCGCATATAACTTTTAGGTAAATTACGAGCGTTGAATTCATTGAAGTTACACCAATATCAGTGCTACGCAAGGTGCTGCCAGAAAAATCCAGATCGAACTTGTTCCTCAAGATCATGTCAAAATGACGTCATTTTAATGTTCACCGCCAAAATATACTGCTGCTACCAAAGTAAGAAGAATTCGTAACGAAACGGCAAAATGACGTACACACGTCAGAGTTATGCACATTTTCATAATTCTCACGTTTTGTGAGGAATCTGTGTAACTAGGGATAGGTAGCCACATTGTCCTCATTTTTACGTCAAAAAGGGGTCCGTAGCGTCTTTTTGACCATCGCGTTCTACCTGGGATATTGGTGGAAATCCATCAGACGTACTTGTACTTGGATGCTGGTACGTTAATCGGCAATCTATATCAAAACTGGGGCGAAAACCAGCATCTTTGTCAAAACGGGAGACTTTTACTCGCGCTTTTACTACCATCTGCTAGCGACTAGCGACGGCCGCAAGGGACTGACTAAAAACAAACAAAAGATGCCTCGACTTGCATCAGTCGACCAAGCATACCGCCTGCGGAGTGGGCTAGCCCGCGTTACACTCGTGCACGGCGGGTAAGTCTATGCTGAAGGCGCCTCCACCAGGCCGTTGTATGCTCACAGCCCGCTCTCGAGGGGTGAATGCGAGTTCACGGTGGCGATGCGCGCCTTGGCCTGACACGGTGAGCCAGCCGGCCCCGCCCGCCTGCCGGCGTGTTAAAGTCGCATTCAACCCTTAGAAGCGTGGCGGGTCGGCACTACTGTATCCAACTCAGAGCTGTAAAGCGGGTCCATCCGGGTCCAAAGCGGATATTCATCCAATCGCATTATCACAGCATTCTGAAGCCACTGCGGCTCCACACGGTTTTTAACCGAGTTGAGCACACTCTGCAACTCGGTTAAAATCTGTGTGGGGCCGCAGTGGCTTCAGAATGCTGTGATACGGTATTGAGATTGGATGAGTACCCGCTTTGGACCCGGATGGACCCGCTTTACAGCTCTGATCCAATTGGGCAAATGGGTCACCCTCCCTGCATGGAGGGAATGCTAGCAGCAGACAATGTATGATCAGTTGCCTAGTCACCACGGCGCTAAGAAGCGGTATACACTATAATGCGACCAAACTAGGAAAGAGCCTGGCTTCTGGGAGCAGTTCTTAACTACTGCCTCCTCAGCTACCGCTGCAAATCATTGACTTGTTCGGGTCCCACCCACCCTGTCGCATGGACCCTCGGTAGAAGGTAGTCACGCTACCGCTGCAGCAACAACGAGCTCCGACAGCCTATTTCCTAGTTTGGTCCCACTCGCACCATAGGTTCACTAACTGGTCGACTGTCCAGAAGCTGCAATCGTTGTGCATATTGTTGTTTCAGCCGTGATGGTGGAGATGGTGAACTTGAGCGGCCAAACGGCTTCAAGTTACAGCACGGAAAGCATCGACACGTTTGGGACCAGTATATAATCTAAATTGCACATGTTTAATAAAAAGTTTAAACGTTTATGTTCTCCCGCTATTCTTCTTCCTACTTAGCCAATAACACATTCGGGTCGGCCTAAACCGAATTTCGGCTACCTGTCCGACAGCGCTGACCCTCAGGGGTAAAAGAGTGGGTGAGGAACACGTGACGCGAGGCAAAGGCAAAAAACTAAGGAGCACAGGTTGATAGGGAATCGAATGTTCAGTTGAGCGTCCGGTGTATTCAATTGGGTTCGGATCGGGCCCCTACGCCATCTGAGATAACGATAAGATATGAGCTGTAAGGACACGTCCGTGGAGGAGATCGGGCTGGGCCGGCCGCTGCCGCCGCGCGAGACGGAGCTGTAGCGAGTTGGTGTCGCCAATGACAGCGCCTGCCACACGCAGGGTCGGCCAACCCGCCACGCAGCTGTGTGAAGACGGCGGCCCGCCCAGAGCGCCCGAGACACGAGACGAGATCCTTCCTTCCTCTGCGTGCACGTGAGCGCGTGGGCGGGCAGCCCAAGACCGAGGTCCTTCACAACTTTAACACAAGCGATGCGGACGCATGCTGGTGCAGGGGGTGCAAACAGGGTATGGCGCGGACGGGATGAGGAGGACGACCAGGATTGACACTTAGGCGACGGCCTTCTCCTCGGCCGGGAGGGCAATGAGACTGAGGGCACGTCCCTAGAGAAGGTAGAGCTGGTGGCGATGTAGGCCGGGCCGCCGCAGCCGGGCGGGAGGGCGCTGAGAAAATGACCCTCCTGGGGGCTGTCAAAATAAGATACGGCTAGACCGACCGACCGACCGACCGACCGACAACCTCGGAATGACCAGGACGACTGAAATTTGGTGTTTGGGGGGTTTT